GCTTCTCACCAATAGTGGTGGGGGGCCGTGTGTTGCTCCGCACATTGGGGTCGTGACCCGTGGCTACCATTGTAGCAGGAGCATAACGCGTACGTGTACGCAACTGGCCTCTGGCCTTGAGTTTGGCATACTCAAACCGAAGCTTTCGTTCCAATCGAACTTGGTCACATCTGCGCTGGCCCGCAGCGCTGGCACACTGCTAAGGTGTCGCTTGCGATACACCCAACGGGTGAACTGATTGTCCTCCTCCTCGGGCAGTTCGCCAGCGAACAACAAGATGGGCACGCCCTTAATCGGTCGAACCGAGACACCACGAGAAAAGCTCTCAAGATGCGCGCGGTACTGACCTTGTGTGGTAAAGAATGGTTCGAGATATCTCTCATTTAGAGCCTGTCGAACGGCTATATCTTCGGGCGACGTAGCCTCGGGGCCCATGGCCCATGTTGAAAGGCTACGTCCTTCCGTTTGACGGAGGCGTTGCTCCACGTCAGGTGTTGTGAACACGTAACCATTCCGGTTTTGAATAACCGTCTGGGTATGAGTGCGGCGTAGAGAACGCTCCTCACGCTGGAGGGTTAACTCCTGTTGCTCGTCTAGCGGGTTTGTGATGATGTTCTCATCTGCATCTGTTGTATGATGCTGCGCCCCTGGCGCTGTGGTAACACCACGTCTAACGAACGGATTCGGTCCTATTTGAGGTCGAGCCTCAGATACAGCGGAGTGGGACGATATCCCTTCATCTCCAGGGACACTGGTATCACTACCATAGTCCACATCCTCATTAAGACCGAGGTAGGAGGAAAGAGTTCGAGACTCGTTGGGTGGCGATTCCATGGTGTTTCGTGTTTTGCCACCGTGAGGTTAAGCGCACACACACCGACCTCTTCGAGGAAAGAAACCGATTGACGTTTTGTGGTAACGTCAGTCTGGTGGGGGAGGGTGTAACGGGGTTACACGTCGACTGGTAGTTGACGATAGGTGTGGTGCACACAAGAGAGGGCGTACCCTATAAAGTAATTTTAGAACACATTGATTGTATCAATTGTTGAAGACTGATGTCTGTCAACAATTGATTACGAGATCTTTAGAGAGGTTTCACTTTGAACCTTAGTGACTAGGTTAAGTACGTTGTTCTATGGTGTTCTTTAGGTTTAAAGAAGAAATAAAATTCAGTTCCCTTTTTGATCAATAAGAGACACGTGCCTTACGAGGCGTCTTTGATCGGGAGGACAAAAGCAACGCCTGTAAAGGTAGCTTGTCATCGAGCACTCTGTGCTGTGATTCGTTTGAATCGTTTGGTCCCTCTGGAACGGGGACCGTAGGCTCTCTGAGCTGTTGACTCTCTGAGTCGGGTTCTCTGAACCAAAGTTTCTCGTGAGAGCGTTAAAGTCTTCCTCTGACTTAAGGAGCTGTGTAGCTCCGCTACAGTATAAGTATGTGCATCCAAGGTTTCTTACCCCTTACAACTGCGATCGGACGCAGAAAACCCTTTGTGGTTGAAGACTAGAAATCTCGAGACGGCTCAAGTGGTCAGAAGGCTCGCGAAATAAGGTCTTAATTTTGAAAAAGGCAATCAGTTGCAAATCAGAATCCCTCATATAGATCACCCCACAAGTATACAAGTAATCTCGTGAAGAGTACCACGAGATCATGTCACCCCCAAATCTCGGTGTGAAGATTTACACATCGGGATCGACTCTCGACCCCATCGCAAAAAAAACGCGGTCAAATTTCCATCAATACGAGTACACCTAGAAGAGTGCAACATTCCTTAACAATGGGTACACAAGGTGAGCGAAGCATACAGCCCGGGATCGGAGTACGGCCTCCTTTATTTGGTCATCCGAGCACCAGTGGAGAGTTGGAATCGACTCCTCAAAAGAGCGATCGCTAAACCACCGCCAAAACGAAACGAGGGACCGCACCCCAGGGAGATGATACTAGAGAGAAAGAAGATCACGGAGTTAAAGAAGCTCTCGAAGGAAAAGATCAGCAGAATCAATCAAGGGGTTCCATGGACAGGTATCGGTTATACGATACGGAAAGCAGTCGACCTCGCTACCTGAGTGGTGTGCCCGGTCCCTCATTAATAGACTCCATTGCCTCACTGGTGAACCCGGTCCCTTATCAGTATACCTCGGGGTCTCATTGGCGGGATCTGTCCCTCATCGGCAGATCTCGGCCCCTCATTCGTGGGCTGTATCCCTCTTTAAAATATGTAAGTGAATCAAGATCAGGATACTCCTGGCCAAGTAAAACAAGAAGTCAGAGCATAAGGCGAGAAAATGACAGAGGTTAATAAAATAAAAGACTGTATTAAATACCAATTAATTCGGGATCTACGTGGTACGACTTCGTCGCGATTTAGCCATCCTGTCAAGGGTTCTCGTCTATTACGGTGAAGGGATACAATTTGTACCCCCCTGGTGAAGAAATTCGAAAGCGAGACCAAGTGCGAATCGAACTCCATAATTTACAAAGTCTGTAATTCGTCTCACGTAGCACACATAAACATCTTCTATTGGAAGAGGCCTGCCATACGCAGTGGTTAGCAAGAAAGGCAAACTCTAGATGATTAACACCCCTAATACACTAAATGAAATTATTAGGGACGAACAGCCACCTTAAAAATCATTTATTAGTCTATTATCGACCAAGTAGATCGAGTGGACATCGATTTAAGAATATCCACTAGGGACCCCACGCCTCCATCTTTTATGACTAACAAACACATCTAAACACCAAGACTTCCGAGCAGTGCGATCCGCTAGTCGACTTGTACACAAGGTGAGTCAAGGTCCATACTCGTCTCGGAGTACCCCGTTCGTAAGTCGGCAATCCGGCACAGTGAGAGATTTAGGGGCTCATCGCACAGTTATGGGAACGTACTACACCGCCAAAATGTGTATCCTTTGTCGTCCGTGTAGATAATCCATACATTTATCAGTATATGTAAGGTTTACCCCTTACGGCCCATCAGCGTTTTATACCTAAATTACAGGGGAACAAATGAAAATTGCAAGTCTTAGGGAACTACGTTTTAGGAGTTAGTCAAATGAATCTTCCCGAAATCCTATGATGCTCAAATCGTGCGGTTATACCCCACCCCAGATACTCAAAGGCTAAACTGGACGCACACGACTGCAATCATTGTGTCTTGCTAAGGCTATCGCCATCAAAAAGGTATAATGATAAGAATGCTTTGGAAAGTAGACACTACCGATATTACGTTGCGCTGATGTCTCTTGCTTTATGAAACGTTGATAGCTGCCATTTCCTTATGGCCGCTTGCTAGCTTAAAATATTTGGCAGGTACGTTGACGAAACAAAATGTTGGACCTGGTGGTCAAAACGAGATATTTATATATACAACGCATTCAAGATTTCTATTGCAATGTTTACGCTCTTATTGCACCACACGCGATATCCGATGAATCTAACATGTCATAAATTAGAATTAATACTTTCGCGTTAAGGTACATCAATTCGTTACGGACACCAAACGGTTATTCGAGTAAGGTATTTAAGCATTAACACATGCCAAGTATGCACTATTGTCTGCGAAAACGGCTCCATGTACATCGTCTATGCTAAGTGGTCTCGCACAGGTCACCAGGGTTTTGACGAACTTGCGATGCAATTCGTAGGGTTTAATCTTATATAATGGACAATTCCGCATTTCGAATGTTGTTTCCAGTTGTTGGTGCACGATATACATCTTATAAAAGCGCTTTGTGTAATCGATAGGTAGACCATCCCGTCTTATTGCATTTTTAACACAAAGGCAACCGCTGTTTGATGCAACATTTAACAATTGCATTTTGCCGAGTTTTCGAGTCTGGTTGATCGTGCAATTTCACCTAGTACGCTCCCACAAACCTATTGCGGGTCCTACAGTAATCTAAGCAATAGGGTCGATCGCTCTTTAATAATAGGGAGCTAGATACCTGTTGCGATGTTGTCAATCAAAGTTTGTAACGTTTCTTTGTCTGTGTCATTATTCCATTTGCAGTGTGTCAGATGCATTTCGAGAGCTGGTGCCGGCGTCTGTTGTCACTCGACTTTCTTCATTCTCTCCACTCACGATCATCATTACTTCGAGCTCTTTGGGTTTTGCTGTGCACGTTTGCGATGAAATCGTACGGAATTCCAGCGTTAATTCAGGTGATGTGCCAACTATTGTAGCGAAACTACTATAGCTCGTTGCCAGAGGAAGGTTTTCTGCTCAACAAGCAAGTTAATAAAACAAAAGAACACGACTCTTCGAGTCAGCAAGCATAGAAGCTTAGGGTACTTGTTCTAGGGGCCCAATGATTCAGCAAATTGACTGCACAAAGTGCTCAAGAGTCTACACCTCAACAAGGCTGGACTACTATTACAAGATCTGAGGCGCCATAGCGAAGCACGAGTCCTTCTGTTGGAGAACAGATCAAAACAGGAACTGAACTATATTTGTGTCTAATTGAAAGGACGCCTTAGCCGAAATGCACCTAATCTAGACACTATACGCCTTGAATGCCTTCTATTAGCTCCCTCTAACGATCTCTTGTCCGGTGGCTGACACACGTGAGCCCCAACAAACTGATAAGGTTTTCGATATTCACTCTTAATGGGATGCCATCCCACGTGTGAACGACACCCGTTGCACTGGTTATCAAGCGACGTGTAACCGCCGTAACGCCTATCGTCTCGAGCCACCTTTTGCTCGACACCGCTTACGAGTGCGTGTTGTACCGCTCTGGTCAACGATAAGGTACCAAAACACGCACAGCATTCCACGCATCAAAACAATCAATCGGAAACACATGGCTGACCACAATTACGGGCCCCGTAAGGTCCTCACGACTCGACGCGTAACCTCATGACGATTGAATCACCATGTAATCGTAACCCTCTATACCCTCGAGCTGTCCTCGAGCACGCGTGGAATTGTGTGCACCACGTCAAGTGCCGGCGCGCCAGTCGTTTCCAAGCCCGAACTTGACCCACCACTAATGCCAATGCACGACGACGGGCCGCAAGTACGTCGTCCGTCTCTTCGCCCTCGTGGCCTCCCCACACCTCTCTCGCCTGCTGCCCCATGACGTGTACTGACCCGCGCGCGTGTGCCTCTTGTGTCTCTCGACTGTGTGTGTCCTCAGGTGCGCGTGAAGTTCGTGACGGCCGATGCGGCGCTTCGCGTGACGGAGACGCCGTTTGCAGTCCCCACGCGGCTCAGTCGTCGCGGGCTGTCGCAAGTCGTCAACCATTTGCTCGCGACGGGCGACGCGCCCCGTCCGTTTGACTTTCTCCTGGGCGGTCTCTTCCTGCGCTCGTCGCTGGAGACGTACCTGCAGACGAACCAGCACAACGCGTCGGAGGAGACGCTGCTGACGCTCGAGTACGTGGAAGCGCTGCCCGAGCCGCGAGCGCAAACGAACTGCGACCATCCCGACTGGGTCAGTGCCGTCGCAGCTCTCGACGACAATGTGGTCGTCACGGGCTGCTACGACGGCGTGCTGCGGGTCTATGACGCGCACGGAGAGTGCAAAGCGTCTGTCAAGGCGCACCACGGAGCGATCAAGGCTGTAAGTGTGTCGGTGGATGCTGCCAAGAGCAGAGACTTTATTGTCGCCAGTAGCGGCAAAGATCAAGTGGCGCAGCTCTGGCGGTATTCGGTCGACTCAGCTCAGCTCTCGCCTATCGCAGCGCTTACGCGCCACTTGAACAGTGTGGATGCTGTGCAGATGCAGGCGTCGGGCAAGCACGTAGTGACGGGCAGCTGGGACAATACAGTGCGTGTGTGGAAGGTGCCAGGTGAAGACGAAGCAGCGTGTGAAGCACATGCAGCAAAGAAACACAAAAAGACAGCAAAAAGCACAGGGGCCGTGAGCTTTCAGCAGCTCGAGGCTGAAATTGTGCTGGTGGGTCACACGAGCCACGTGACGAGTGTGACGTTTAGCCCCAAAGACGCCAAGCATGACGACAGCGTGGTTGTCTCTGCTGGCAGTGACCGCACTGTGCGTCTATGGGACCTCGTCACCCAGTCGTGCTCCCAGTCGCTGGTTGGAAACCGTGCCGTGTCGGACCTGAGCGTGAACGCGAGCGGAATTGTGCTGACTGCTCATCCGGACCAATGCATCCGTTTGTGGGATCCTCGTGCACAACAGAGCGGTGAAAGTGTCGTACAGCGCAACTTTCGGTCGCACAAGGAGTGGGTGAGCTCAGTGGCCTGGCACCCGGACAGCGCAGCGAAGGAGCACTTATTTGTGTCTGGGGGGTACGACGGCGCGGCGAAGGTGTGGGACGTGCGAAGTACCATTCCTCTGCACACTATAAATGCGCACGAAGGCAAGTTGCTTGATTTATCATGGCGAAGCCACGGCAAGGAGAAGAGCGCCGTGGCGTTCGTCACGGGCGGTGATGACAAGAAGCTAAACTTCTACTGCGTGTAAAGAAGCCAACAAAAGTTGGACGTGTCACTGCTTGTTTCGACTTCGAGTGGCGTGTATTTTGCGTTCTTCTACTGCAATGTCGCACGATACGCTCACCTTTTGGCACTTTGCTCGCTTCTAGCGCACAGGCCAAGTTCGTCCATTTCTTGCCAGCTGTCTACTTTGATTCTGCAATACCACGGGTGAGCTCAGCACGTGCTTACTCCCAGGCCAGCAGCTTCTCGAGTTCCTCGATATCGTCCGCGGGAGCCTGAGTGATAGGTCGCGCGTAGTGCTCTTCAATATCCGCAAGGTCTTGCTTGCTCTTGTTGTCGTAGACAAAGTTGATGGCGCAGCCTTTGCGGCCAAAACGACCTGTACGACCGATACGGTGCAAGTACGTTTCGGGGTCCGGGCGTTGGTCGCGCGTTAGCGGGATGTCAAAGTTCACGACAAGTGACACACCCGCCACATCGATGCCACGAGCGAGCACATTCGTAGTGATCAGCACATTGGTTGTACCGGCACGGAACTCATCGATCACCTGGTCGCGCACCTCCTTCGCCATGTCGGCACCATGCAAGATACCCACCATGTGGCCCTTCTCACGCATACGACGCGTCAGTTCCTTGGCTGTTTCGCGCTGCTGCACAAAGATGACGCACTTGCCGATCGTCAAGACTGCAAAAATGTCCGAGAGCACTTGGAACTTGTTGTCGCGAGTCTTACAGTCGATCCAGAACTGCTTGATACCGTCTAGAGTGAGCTTCTCCTTCTTGACGGTAATAATGTTGTGATCAGGCACCATCTTCTGGGCAAACTCCCGCACGTCGTCCGCGTACGTCGCCGAGAACAAGAGGTACTGGCACGCACGGTTCTTGATCATCCGCTTGATCGCCACAGAGCGCTCGCGCATACCATCTTCTGCAACCATCACGTCGGCCTCGTCCAGCACAAAAATCTTCACATCGCGCGTTTCGAGCTGCTTCTTCTTGATCATGCCCTCAACTTTGCCCGGGGTGCCGACAATCACTTGAGCCGTCAAGCGCTCGCCCCGAGCAACGTCGTTGCCTGGAATCGCCAAAAACGTCTCGACGCCAATGAATTTGCCCATGGCATTCACCACAGCCATGATCTGCCGCACGAGCTCCCGAGTGGGACCTACACACACGGCCTGCGGGGCTTTCAAGTTCACGTCCACGCGGTACAGCATACCCAGGGCAAAAGTAGCAGTTTTGCCACTGCCGCTCTGTGCCTGGCCAATGAGGTTCTCGGGCGGACTGCAGCAAGAAAGCAAACGGTCATTCAAAAAGGTCAGCAAATGGAGCACTTGGCCCATTAAAGTCCTCTCTTTCTCCTTCAACAGCCGCGACAACGACCAGTGCGTACTCAGCTAAGATCAGCGGCAACGCGACCGACTGAATCTTCGACGGCTTTGCGAACTTCATGTTGTACACGCCCTTGAGCAGCGGCTCTGGTCTACAGAACACGTGCGTTCATGACGAGGTTCAGTTCCATTGTTGGCAATAGTCCGTTCTCGCAACACGCAGTCAATAATGTTATTATGTGAGTTCCGACAAGTTGAGCTCTTCGAAGGTTACGGCCGAGTAGAGATTTGAATTCGGATCGTTCTGCAGCACTTGGAGCTCGGCCTTGTAGTCCTGGTCGTCCAGCCCCTGGCCGAGCGCCAGGATCTCCTCGAGCGACTGCGTCACCTCCTCGACGCCCTCTGCCGCCGCCTCCTCCTGGACGGCTGCAGGCACAACACCGACGACGTCCTGCTGCCTTAGCTCTTCGTCCGACGCCGTCATCGTAGCTGGAGTAGTAAAAGTAGTAGTAACAATAGTAGTAGAAGTAATAGTAGTAACAATAGTAGTAGAAGTAGTAGTAGTAGTAGTAGTAGAAGTAGTAGTAGAAGTAGTAGAAGTAGTAGAAGTAGTAGTAGCCATCGTGGTAGCAATAATAATAATAATAATAATAATAATAATAATAATAATAGTAGTAGTAGTAGTAGTAGTAGTAGTAGTAGTAGTATGCGTCCTCTTTGAATGCTGGACGTTTGGTGCCCGTCGATTCCTACAACCCGACTTGTGCGTTTACCACCAGTCAGCGACGAGTACGTCGTCACTCAAACGAGGGATCCACCTCCTTGTCCTCTTTGTAGCCACATGCGCAACTTCGAACACGAACCATCAAATCTGTGCCATAATCAAAATGTCGGACAAAACACCACGTCGCACGTCGCTGCACGTTGAAGCGCATGGCGGCCGTCTGTGGCTCCACGGCCGCCCGTTCGTCATCAAAGGCGCGAGTTACTTTGGCATGGAGAGCGACATTGGCGTGCCGCATGGACTCTGGGGCGGTCCGCAGTCCACGACGATCGCAAACGTCGCGCAACTGCTGCGGTCGCACCGCTTCAATGTCCTGCGCGTCCCTTTTGCAGTCGCAGCCGTTGCAACAAACAGTGCCATCGATCGGTCGAAACTATGCAACGAAACGGCTCTTCTGGAGGCGTTCCACGGACGCGACGCACTGCGGTACTTGGACGTTCTGGATCACGTCGTGCACGAGTGTGCGCGGCACGAGCTCCTGGTGCTCCTCGATGCGCACGTGATGCAGCTTGGGGCTGCCATATCGGACTTGTGGTACAATGACAGTCAAGAGTGCTCACAGGATCTGGTCGAGCAGGTCTGGACCACGCTGGCAACGAGGTATGCGAACCAGTGGAACGTGCTGGGGGCGGACTTGAACAATGAACCACATGGAGACGCCACGTGGGGCACACACGACGTTGCGACAGACTGGAGACTTGCGGCCATGAAGTTGGCCGACGCCGTCTTGACAGTGTGTCCTCAATGGCTCATCTTTGTGCAAGGAGTACAGACAACAGGTTGTGACTCGGCGGAGACACACGAGATGCCGTGTTTCTGGGGAGAGAATTTCCAGGCTGCAGCGCTGCATCCTGTACAGCTTCGCGTGGCGAATCGGCTCGTGTATTGTCCGCATACGTACGGCCCAGCAGTGTCGTGGCAGCCGTATTTTGGCGCCGCGGACTTTCCAGAGAATATGCCGTCGGTGTGGGATCGCCACTTTGGGTTCTTGAAGCAGCAGTCGGATGTGCCGCTAGTGATCGGGGAATGGGGAGGGTGTTGTGAGAATGCAAAAGACTGGACGTGGCAAAAGCGCTTTGTCAAGTACTTGCACGACAGTGGCGTCAGCGGTGTGGTGTACTGGTGTGTGAATCCCAACGGCAGTGACACGGATGGACTCTTGTGCGCGGACTGGCGTTCACCCAACACTAGAGCTTTTGAGCTGCTGTCACGCTTTACTGGGACCCCGTTGCCACCTTCTCATTGTACAACGTGATGCTTTGATCTGTGTGTCGTCTCTGTCCATTGACCCATCCAATTCCTTTTACCTGCAAAGTGTCACTTCATCTGCTCTGGCATCTGCGGCATAAGATGCTGCCGCCATCGAAGTCTCTTCTTCTACCGTCAATACAATTTATAAACTGATTATCGTGAAGATAAACACTTGACGTTGGGATCTTCCGAGGAGGTTTTCATTGCGTATGACGTGCGGAACGCATTCCATACCTCGTGTCAAAGAGGTATGAACTAACTATCAGCAGCAATCGAACCCATCGCAACCGGCATTGGCTATGATTGCGGATTGTAGGAGAAACAGTGCGGTGCCCTCGCCGTGCACGCGACATCACTCCTAGTGTTTACGTGGGCTTCCTACGGCGTGCACGATGCGCAAATAGCACGCAACAAAGACAGATGTGACAGCACGGCCTACTAAACGACGAAACGGTCGCTTTGTACGAAGGACCGTCCGTCGCGTAGGCCGTCGACCTGTCAACGTGGAATGAGACGCCGTTCCTTCGGACGGGTCGGCACTGTGCCCGGCTCAAGCAACTGCCAAGCAAATTGCGACCGAAGAGCGCCGGTGGAACGTGCTACTTTGCGAGAAGCTCTGGTGCCTTTTTCCAATACATTGTCACTGACTGCACTGTCGCCTCTTGGAATCGACCACAGCTTGTCAAATGCACCAAGTCTTCGTGCGTGTTCCCTACTGGTGGGTTGCTGACAGGACAGCGGGGACTCAGTGATCGCTGTGTCGACAGTTCGTACACACGAGCATCGAGCCTTTCACCGACGTTGTAGGTCTGTCCCCATCATCTTGAGGTAGAAGAAGGGCACTAATCTGCTTATTGTTCGACGTAGGACCTCAAGTACCACACTCGTTTCGGTAGAGGCTGTTGAGGAAGAAGCGTTGCATTGATAGAGCAGCTGTCCGTCTTCATTTGTCAAAGGTATGTACGCACGGATGGCCATCAGTCGCTGACGCACCAAGAGGAACTATTATAGCAGCTTGGGTACCAAAAGAGACTGCTTTACGAAGGAGTGTCCGTACGAGATATGGCTCACGCTGTTCGTGTACTAGTAAATGGATGTGCTAACTTCACGTTTGGAAGCACAGATGCACAGGAAAGTTACTGACGCCACGATACGAGAGATTAGTGGTCCTCATTTTGAGAACGATGTATCGGAAATGGGTTCACGTGCCCATTCTGTGGTGCAGTTGGACCCTAACCAAATCCTGACCGATTTGAGTAAACAGTGACGTGTGGCTATAATTCTCGACAGATATGACGTGACTGTAACGCCGCGAATGGCAGAAGCGCATATACCACCACGATCATAATTAGTTGTCGCAAGTCGGAGCAGTCTGCTTCTTGCTTGAAGTTCGCATCGGGTCAAATCTCGGGAGTATAGAGGTACCTCCGTGCCACGATATGTCGACGTTCGCAAAGGAAACGCTACGTGGCTTCTCTCGAGCAGCCCCTTGAGGCGACAAGTAGTTAGCCATGTAACTGGTTGGTAGTCTCTCCAACCAAAGCGTTACGCCGATCTTCTTTGCTCCCGTGTCGCACAGCAATCTCCAAAGAGTCGGCGCTCGGTCGTCATGATGGTAGGAAGAGGAGGGGGCGCATGGCGTCAAATTTCTTTCCTCCCGATGAAGAACTTGCTCGAGTGCTTTGCTTCCTCGTGCAGTACACCAATACGAACCATAATTTACTACTTATTAAATGCGGCCACTACGCTCTCTATTGCGTAAAGAGGTCGACGGCCTCTTGAGCGCGACGCTCGATGCATGTCAGAGTGCGGCCGGAACTTTGTCGTTCAATTATACCTACTTCTACTACTTATTTCAACATAGACACTTCGTCCTGCAGATCGCACAGCGCACTGCGCAGTCGACGCGTTGGGTCATGACAACGCGAGCAGACACTTCTAGGGACTACTACTACTACTACTGCTAGAGCATGTCGCTCGAACGGCGCCACCGCGCGGACAACGAACATTACTTTCTTCCCACGCCGTCCACCGACTCACACGGCGCTGTGCGAGATCTCGTCGATAAAGTGCTCGAGGAAGAAGAGGTCTTCTTCGAACAAGTCCACGGGCGTGTCCGACGGCTCGACGTCGATCACCGGGGCGTCCGCCATCATGTACTCCACTGCGGCGTCCATGCCCATGCCAACGTCCAGCTCTGCGTCCATCCACGAGAGCATCGCGACGTCGTCTTCGGCAGAGCTGCCATCATCAAAGCCGTCGATGCCGCGCGGACTGCCAGTAGCAGTAGCAGCAGGAGACAACGACGACGCAGACATGGCAGCCCCCGCTCCAGCGCGGGCGCCCCACTTTGTCACCATGACCGGGTCCAGCCCAACGTGGAGCACCGTCTCGAGCTTTATAGCCGCCGAGACTTTGGGCGAGCGCCGCCCGCTGACGTGCGGCTTGGCCCGTGGCGAGGCCGGTCGCCCTTGTTTGCGCCGTTGCTCCATGCGGCGCTGGTTCGTATTGGCCTTCTGCCGATGGTACTCGCAGAACTTGTGCAGCTCGCCATTGCGCTTTTCCACGCGCCAGCTCCAGCACTTTTTGCTCGGGTAGCCGCACAGCAGCGGCGAGCGCTTGTGCGGCGCGTCCAGCCCCATGACGCTGTGGCCTGGCAGCGTCAAGTGGGGCAGCACGTGCGACACGGGCGGAGAGGGCGTGTCCAGCAGGGCACAGGGATGGTGCAGCAGAGTCACGTGCGACGCGTGCAGAGGGGGCAAAGGCGGCTGCAGCATTGTGGGGCGCGCGCTGTTCCCGGCCGCGTGCTGCGCGAACGACGACAGGAGTTCGCTGCTCGAGTACGTCGTCGTGATGACCATTGCGAGTGGAGCGAGTACACGACTGGACGCAGCTGTGCAAATGTGCGAATGGCAAACAGACTGGCGGACAAGTTGAGGGACGGACGGACTCGCGACGACGGAGAGACAGACAGACAGTTAGTTAGTTAGTTAGTTGGGTAGTAGGGGGCATTGGCAAAACCGCCACCACACGAGCGGGAGAAGTGCTGCGGCCTCGGGAAGCGAATTTTAGTGCAGCTGCAGTCGTCGTTTGGCGCCGGAGCCGCGTGGTCGGGCACTGGCTGGGAAGCTCCGGGCCGCTTGCCCGCCCGTCTGTCTGTCGGTCTGTCTGTCGGTCTGTCGGTCGTGAACTTTCCCCCGTGGCTCGTCTGGTGGGCCAGAGACGCGCGGAGCAGGTGGCGCGCGACAGAGCACCGACGGACGCGAAGAAAGGCACTTGGACATGTACAGAGGCGCCGGCGGTGTGGGCGGTGGAAAAGGGGGTGGACGCTTGTGCACGCTCGAGTGGGCTGCTTTGCTCGCGATCGATCAACATGAGCGGCCCACTTGCACAAAAACGAGCGATCGACAGGCGAGGAGCACTGTCGGCATCGTCCAACTCATTTTGCACGCGTGGACGAGGCGCTCCTTTTGACGGACTGCTCGACACGTACCATACGAAAAAACGTGTCTGCTCTTCGGTGTGCGCACGTCGCGCACGATGGCGATGGCTGTGTGTTTTTCATGCGCCATCTGAACGGAATCGACGTGATGTATTGCAGGACCTGCCAATGTCGCAGATGCCTCACATCGCATCGTTTCACGCGCCAGGCAGCTCCCGGCAGTGTAAATAGTCGAACGAAAGCGAGAAAGCAGTCTGAATGAAGAGATGTCCGGCCGCTTGAAGGCTCCACGAAATCGGCGCGAGGTCGGTGGGCGACACGACAGGGGGGGGGCATGCAAGCCGTGGGCTTACAGCCACCTCGTTCCACGAGGGACGAAACCCTTTTGGGGACAGCTCACGTGTCGATCTCACCGGTCAGTTCATCCAAGGCCCAAACAGCCGGTTTGCCAGCGCGTTGCCAGCGCATCACGCGCCGTGAGCTTTCTCAGATCGGACAGAGGTATTGGGAGTGTCTTCAGTGAGTCGAGTGCGTGTGTGAGTCGAGTGCGTGTGTGTGAGTGAGTGTCGAGGTCAATGGCAGTGGCCACTACCACTACGTGGACCAGCGCTGCTTTTGCAGCCGGTGGGATGCAGAAAGAAGCCTCGACCATCAATCAGTTCAAGTCGCTCCTCCCCTCTCTCGCTCCGATTGCCGAAGCTGCAGCACTGCGTGGCGAATGTTCACGCAGAAAAGGCGACGAGGCGGACGGACAGGAAAAGACCCGTGAGCCAAAGGTGTGGGCCTGACCTGCCGCCGCTCTGCCGTCCTATGGTGACGCTTGCCGCGCTGTCGACCAGCCAGCAGATGCGCGGGCACATAGCCAGACCTGGGAATAGATACTTTTCAGCCGCGACGCCTTATTCGCGCCGACGGCTCTGCCGCTGCGGCTGCCGTTTCTGCCTTTGTCTGGTCGCTAGCACCCGATTGCGCTCGTCCAGACCTGATCCTTCCCCTCGCGACGCGAACGATTTGCCACGGACAGCGCGTCGAGCAGCGAGGCCTGACCCGATCATGCCCAGAAATGCGACGTTGCTGGAAAAAAGTATCGACAGCCGACACGGGGGCGTCACGGATTTCTTCCGTGGCTTTGCAGCGTCTGGACGAGCGTTTCGAGTCAAACGGGGCGACCGGCTTGTCCGAGGCAGCAAATGAACTGCAACAAGCTGTGGTTTCGCCGCCGGCGAGGGCGACGACCTGGTGCCGCAGCCCGATCTCCAAAGTGCCTTTGGGCAAAGCGAGCTGCAAAACGACGACCGGTTTGCCCATGAGACCCGCGCGCTAGCCCGTGAGCCGGTCATACTGCCAGGAAACACTCGCAACCTCATTGTCTTCAATGCAAGTTTCTTTCCATGCAGCCGTGACCTTCCGTTGTGACGTCTGTTCACTTCACGCAGCTGTTTCGGCGGTGCGTGGAGAGGGTCGTGTTGTAGCCTGAAGGGTTGTCATTGCATCGCTGCGGACATGACGCAGGAAAAGGTAATCTTTGCCTGGTGCGGTCAGCAAAGCTCAGAGCCAACGACAGGTACTGCCAAGAACCGTGACCAGGTCATTGGAGCTCTGCTACTGCTGACACGGCCGATGGCTGGTAATAAATGATGACAAATGATTGTCGGGCCGTTTATTCGTTCGTAAAATCTAGTGGGCGTCTAACTACAGTACTACATAGTTGGGACTCAGGTGTTCGTGTAAGGCCAGCCGTCCACATGGCGCTCGCTAGCAGTCGTATCTCCCCCCCTCCGAACGCTAGAAGTGACCGCCTCCTATGGGGTCGAGCGCCAGAAATTGTGGACCCATGTCGAACACTGTTGTCCACATTGCCTCGGGATCGAGCGCATTGGTGTCTGCCGTCGTCGCGCTCCCCAGCCAGTCTTTCAGAGTGGTCCGGCATTCTAGCTCTAGCTCCGACACGACCAGTTGCACCTCACGCGAAGCGGGCTCCGTGTCTTTGAAAGGATCTGATAGCGACGTTGCTTGAGGCCGGACTTGATGGTTCATATGGCGCTGGCTTGGCTTGAGGCGGTGGGCAGGCTTTAGACGCTGACGCTGCTTTTTTATTCGCTTGGGCCCCAATGGCCGCGGCAGTCCGGGGGGGAGCGATGGTACAGGGTGCGAAGAGAGCAGTGATACTGGAGGCGGGGGGAGCAGCGACGGCAGTAGAGGTAGCGGCGGAGGACCGCGCGTCATGGGCGGGCCCACGAACAAGTACAGGTCTTTGAAGTTCATGGGTCTCTGTTGGTGCAAATGCTTGAATGAAGCTAGGCGAACTGTCGTGTCACTGTTTCCCAAGGCAGGCCACCATACCTCAGAGCTAGCTGGTTCTCAGCGACAGCACCCCCGACGATTTGCTGTGTACCTTGTATACTGAGAAAGATTGGTCGAAGATGCCTCAAGAAGTGGCTCGGACCACGGGTGTTCTCCGCGGCAAACGGGGCGCAGGTTTACTCCCGTCTTTTCCACCTGGAGCTGTACGAAGACTCTCTCTCTATACATGCAAATAATTTCAATCCATCATCTGCAATGGCTGCACAGACGTTCGTGTTGTTCACGCTGGTGAACACGCTACCCACATAGGAGAGCAGCGAAAGCATATCTGATAGCATTGAAGTGCTTCCGAACACCCTTATCGTTGTTCATCATCATCTACGAGCTCGCAGGACTACTTGGATGCAGTTACCATCAACAATAATGATGACTACAAGACATTGACACGCCGTACCAGCACGACACACTGACACAACACAGATGTCGAGATCGATACTCGCCGTGACCGAGCTTCGAGTGTTTCGGGAACTACTCGAGTCGATCGATGTCATGACTTTGCTCTCGCTACGTGGTAGTGGTCGAAGTGAAAGTAATCGGTCTTCTTAGCTTTGCTAAGGCGAGCGGTCACATATATGATCTCGAAGAAACCTCTTGTGCTGAGTTAGTACTGGGCGCTTGACCTAGAAAGGTCAGTCGGCCAGATGCTCGCCCGGCACTCGAAGCCCCTTCTCGCTGCAGTCCTACCCCTGGACAAGTCAACGCATCGGTCCCTCGATTTGGTAGGAACGTTCTCTTGGACCGTTCCCGAAACTCTTCCCCCTTCTTGACAGGCGCCACTTGAACCCTCTTGACCACTTCCCGTCTGTCCACTCAGCGTTCGTCACGTGCAAATTCAGCACTCCGTCAAGTTTGCGTTCAGCGCTCTCCCAAGTCACTGCGAATGGCACAAAGCACGTTTCAACGTGAAGAACTCACTCAGGCCACCACATTGCCGTGCTCGAATCAAGCGTGGGCCATGCATCGTCGCATGCGTTGGGAGCTTGTAAAGTCCATATGAGCTTTCCACGCGGTGCCTCGATCAAAAGTTGCATCAACCGAATAAGTGGTTGTCGGGCCAAGCGCTCTCCTACGCCTAAAAGAGGTGACTACCACGTAGGACACCCAGACCACTGAGTCAACGGACAGACTTTTGTAAGCCTGCATAAACGTATCACCTCTCTAACACGATCAGATACACCTCTCAACGCGATATGGAAGACCAGACCAAATGCGTCAGAGAAAAGCGCCATTCCCTCTTTCCTTCCTCGCTCCCCCTCGTACACACGCAGTTTAAACACGCAGTTTAAACACGCAGTTTAAACGCGCAGTTTAAACACGCAGGTTTAACCTCGCGGGTTGCACAATAAATACCTAGCCATGCAATAACCAGCAAGCACCAATCAGTAGCAAGGAAGCGCCTAATACGCAGAAAGCTGCCGTAAACAGGGCAGAAACAACCGTCGGGCAGATGATACCACACAGTCTACTTGGGTGCAACTCCACTTTATTGGTCTGCAATAGATGTATCGCACTGCAATAGCAGCTCCACCTACGGCTGCATCGAAGTCAATGGAGAATAAACTGAATCTTAAGTGCTCCGCGTCGAGCCGCGTGGGCCAATGCTGCCTCTGCTTGTTCCAGCGGGTAAACGCCGTGAATGTACTTTTGTACGTCGACTTTGCGGTCCCGTAGCAATCGTATGGCCCACAGCATTGGTCCACACCTCGAGCCCACGAACCGCAATCCCTTGCTCTGCACGGCCCGAGTGTCCACCACAGTCTCCTTTGCCGAGCACGTCGTCTTGACCACCACCGTACCCCGTTCACGGACCAATTTCAGGGCCAGCGACATACCAGTGGGACTTCCCGAGCTCTCAATGCACACGTCAAATGGGTCCCTGTCTTTCACGATCCGAGCAGCAAACGCCGTCATCTCGGGGTCACCCGCACTCTCTTCTTCCAGCGTGTGGACGTTCTGCACAAATTGCGTCGCTAACGCCAGCTTCTCGCGGTGCTTACCGACAAGAGTCACCGACTTGGCGGCCTTGGTCGCATGCAGGATCTCTACTACCATGAGACCAAGCTTGCCGTCGCCGAGCACCACCACGTGATCGGACGGCTGGATGAGATGCTGCTCCAGAATGCGGCACGCAGCCGCTAGTGGCTCAGCAAAGACGGCATGGGAGTCCACGACGCTGTCAGGCACCTCGTAGAGATTCGCAAGCGGGAGCGTAATGAACTCGGCGAATGCGCCATCCTTCTGGACAATACCGAGGCACGATCGGTTGGGGCAGTGATTGCGACGCATGACTTCTGCTCGGGTCAACGGAGGACAGCCTTGAGTAGGCTCATGACTGCACCGAGCACAAGTCGCACACTCTGACGCGTTGCACGGAACGTTGATTTCACCAACAACGCGCTTGCCAATCCACGTCTGCTGTGCCAGCTCGTCGTTCGTGTAGTGCGCTCCAAGCTTCCGCACAATGCCGACGAATTCGTGTCCTAGAACACCCTTGAAGCCTGGCTTGTAGTTGTCGATCATTTGCAAGTCCGTGCCGCAGATACCTGCTCGCAACACCTCAATCAGTGCCTCACGAGGTGCAGGTGTCGGAACATCGAGGTCCGTGCGTAATTTCGGGGCCACCCCACTCTCTTGCAAACACAGTCCTCTCATCACGCGCGGCTCGACAATCTGTGTGCCCATCCCAACACGGGCAGTGGAAGTGACAGAATGACTGGTTCTGCGATCCCTCGTGTCCCATTTTTCTGCTCTCACCAGGTGGAATCGATGCAGCTGCTTTGGCTGCACAAGCAGCTGCGGCAGGCGAACCGCCGGGCTCACAAGCGCTGGAAATATCTCGGCACGACTGATTCCGCAGCGTCGCAATTGGAATCCCATCGGAGCGCAGCCGACCTACAAACGCGTCACGTTGCTTCGCATCTGCCTGCAATGGGGCCCCCCCCCCCCCCCCCCCCCCCCCCCCCGCGGCGGGGGGGCGCGCCGGGGGGGGGTTTTTTGCCACATGTGCGGCTGCTAGGACCCTTGACACCAAATATCTGGCTGCACTTGATCGGCCCAGTAGATGCTCTGCATGCGTCGTTAGCTGCATCAACAGCTGATCGCTGGCACTTCTTGCCGCACAAGGCACGACCTCGACATGGCTTTGTATGGCGATAGTTCTTCTCGACAATGGCGACGGACCTCGTTCTCTTTACAACTGTTTTGCAAGCTATGAACCCTCAAAACCTGTGGGTGGTGGCGACACAAGTGTCACGTGAGACCAGAGACCCTGTTGCCACTTTGGCACGACGCACAACGGATCACGTGAGACTTGTTCTCATTTTGTTGCACCTGTGGCGGACGGATTCCGTCCATCGTCCTGCTGCAATCCCCCAGCTGGACAAAAACATGCCGTGGACTGCCAAGTGCTCGTGTGGCCAGGAACGCTGCGGACACGTGCGAGGCAGACGCCGATACCGGAGCAGGAACGTCTTTGGACCTTGCGACTGTCTCGGCACTTATCGGTAACTCCTCTGAGTTTTTCCTACTGCCATCGATTCGACTCGACGTCGCTGGCCCGAAATCGTCGGCGTAGATCGTCGGCATCGACGGTGAGCTACAGAGATTGGCCTCACCCCTTTGTTTATGCGGCGGTGTACGCACGACGACAGAGATTGTCCTGTCCTTATTCTCGTCCGCCCTGTCGTCGATGTTAACGACGTTGCGACGCTTGCGTGCTACGCTGCAGTGCCGACGCCACGTGGAACGAGTCCACTGTCGAGAGATTGCGCTCCTCGCCTTCCATCGCAAAGTATACACGAGGCGACGAGGTGCAACTAGTTCCGCTGGTGTACTACGGCTACAGCGACTATCGAAGCTGCGGGCACTACGATTGCCCAGAGTTGATGCCATGACCAGCATCAAACGAAATCGATCTGCGTCTTTTGGCGAGTTCTGTAGTCTCTGATGTCGTAATGAGCTTATTGTTGCGGTGTTGTTTTTTTAGTTTGTTAGCAATGGGTGTAGCCATCTCAGGGTGCTATCGTAACGCAATGGAGGTGAGCTCGTGAGCCAACATGTATCGACTCACGAAGAATAAGCTAAGCGCTCGTCCGACATAGCCAGTGCGCGCTGATGATTTGTTTCTTTCTATGTGCTCTTCCTGTCCTGCAAAAGACCGTTTGCACTATGAGCGCCTCAGCCATTCATTTGGTGACCATGAGAGAGGTTGTCGACGCCGTTGTGGCGACGCCGCGTCATTATTTGATCCTAAACAATGTGCAGAAGATCAAAAACCTCAAGAACATGCTCGTGAGTGCTTCAGCCTTTGGGGTCAAAGAGGTGTTTGTCGTTGGACAGAAGACATTCGGCTTGCAGGAACAAGAGCCTTTTCTGAGCTCACTGAGCTGTCAGGTCACGCGTCTGGCCACGTTGAAAGGGTGCAGAGCGCATTGCAAGGAGCGAGGCATTCGCATCATTGGAGTCGAGATCATGCAGACTGCTGCGAGTGTCGCCGACCACCCATTTCGTGGTGACTCGGCTTTTATCATGGGAAACGAGGTGACTGACACGCAACAGGAAAAGCTTCGAGGTGAACGTGATATTTGATACTGTGATACCACATGTCGTGTTGTTTCCAGGGCAGTGGCATGAACTCGGCTCAAGTGGCAATTTGCGATGATTTCGTGTACATTCCGCAGCACGGAGGCGGCACGGCATCGCTCAATGTGACGGTCGCAGCATCGATTGTCTTGCAAAGCTTTGCGCTGTGGGCTAAATTGCCAATGACAACGAGCAGTGGTGTTGCTGCAGCAAGAGGAAATCACAAGTGAAGGTATCAGAATACGCGCGTCCAGGCATGCTGCATCGATGTAGAAGCACTTGTGGTAGTGTCATTCGTCCACGTGACGTGGGTTTGCGGCGGCATGATGACCAATTTAGCGGGCACGTTGGCGTTATCTGGTTCCGCGATCGACATGAACCAAATTAAGGACGAAGAGTCAACAACAACCACGTCGCCTTGTCTGACGATAGGACGCGCTCGTTTCGCTATGCATGTCAAACTTGTTGCTGGTCATCATTCCGCAAACCGCTGAAGGCGACGCTGCGATGTATCTCATCAGTGCTCACTTGCCTGACGGTGCTCGTTCACACCAACAAAAGAACGCCATCCATCTCCTGGAGATATGGTGGAAGTATCAACATGCGCTAGGCATGCAGTATCGTGCTGTGCATTTCATCACCGTTCCATAGTTCCATGACGTGAAAGTGTACTGTATCTCCCAAGTGGACCAAGTCACATCACGCAAAAGCGTGAGCCTCTCTTTATTCAAGTTTATACTTGTGTATTAGTCAAGTTCAACTGCAAGCGCCAGCAACTGCACCTTTATCGAAGTGCAACTACCCCTCAGTACCTGTGAGCCATCGCTGTAAAAGGCTTTGACCAGTGTGAACTGTAGCAACCAGTATGCACAAAGAAAATCGGCTATTCCAAATGAGGTTGCTGATTAGGCTTTGCGGTCCTATTGCAGCTTGTTTTGGCACTGTTGTCTCCGTGACGATGTACTACGTCCAGTGCACATGTACATCCTTATTAAACTGTAGCTTTTGCTACGCGCATAGCAAACGATACGTAGGCTTTAGCGTCTTCGAGAGTTGACTAGTATATGACCATGAAGGCTCTCGCCTCAAGAGGAGCTAACTCTGGTAGCTCGCCCTTCAGTATCAGTAAATTAGTCCGGAAAATCGAATTACGTCTCGTCATTTACGGACCCTTTTTGGATGGCAGACATGTGCAATTGTCGAACGGCAAGTGCGCTGTGAGGTGTACTAGCCACAACGAGGCTGTGGTTGCTGTGGACGAAGCAGCTCGTTCGTGTTGCTGATGTGTTGAAGATGACGGTGAGCGAAAAAAGAGACGATGGACGATTTTGCGTGCGCTTAAGGAAAAACGTGCGACCAACTGCAAGCAATTGACTGATCAGAGAGATAGAGAGACTTCGGCTGTTCTTTGCCGACGAGCCAAGAGGGCGAGCGTTCATTTGTTTGCTCGGATAGCTTTTGCTGTTGCAAGTGCTGCGGACAAAGAAGAGGTATGCCTGTCAATGTCGCCTTCCCGGTGCTACTTTGTTGTTTCCCGATAGGAAGGTCAGTCATCATTAGTGTGTTTCATCTCGACCCTCATCACATCCGTCTTAGGTCTTCCATGCGTGCAACCATCGACCAAAACAAAGCCGCCGCAAAGCTCAAAAACGTCGCGCTTGTCTCGGAGACAACTGTTTCCGCTGCGCGCCTCGCTCTCAAGTCTGGCAATACGCACAGAAACGTAGAGACGACAACTCCCGAAGATGCAGACTGCATAAAAAAAGTAGCCCAAGCCAACTTGCCTACTGCTGCACCTTCTCCATCCAGAGCAATCACACTCGAAGAAAAAGTGTGTGTAGGGCGAGGGCAATGGTGTGCAGCAACACTCCCTTTCGTACGACAACGTCGTTCGTTCTCGGGAATGTCTTCTTCCTGTAGTGCAGAATCGCTACTTGACGAGATTCCTGCAGCCAGTGCGACTGCCGCTGGTGCTTGTTCTAAATCAGGAGGTTTCGAACGGCAGACCCACTCAGTGCATTCTTCGCCCCTTCCAGATCTCGAACGCCTAAAATACCAACGAAAACAGAGTCCGTCGAGGCATAACTGGCGCCTCACCTGAATATGCACATGCAGAAGTCGCTGTCAAAGACCGAGCGCCGGCGTCCCACGGCGGGCGAAAGCGCCAGCGACTCGGACGTCAACGCGGCGACAGAGCGCGCGGACGACGATCGCCAGTCGAGCGGTACGGCAACGGGGACGAAGCGCAAGACGGAGGAAAACGACAGAGGCGCGAAGACCGTCTCGAGGGAAATGGGTCGAAAGAAGACAAAGGCGCTGCGATCTGCTGCGAACGCGACGGAGCAGTGCGGGAAAACAGAGCCAGTGGGAGGTCCACCTGCGGCCCATGCGGACGAGCGGGTGCTCCTGGCAGTCGAGACGCGTCACTTGGACTTTGCAGTGGCCAAGTGGAAGCAGCAGCAGACGCTGCGACGCGAGCGGTTGCAACTGAAGCGCGCAGAGATTCAGTTCAAGGAGCGAGTCACGAAGCAGCAGCTGCAGATGCAGGTGATGGAGCTGCGCGCGAGACTCGTGAAGGCGCTGGAGGAGACTGGACAGTCGCCGGCTCAGGCCAAGAAATATTTGGCACTACTTGGGCAAAAGGAGGAAGGCGAGCGGAGGATCGCGTGAGTGAGTGCGTTTGCTGCAATAGACAGACGGATGGGATTGCTGTTGCTGCTGCTGCTGCTGACGAGTGTACTGCGTATCGTCCTTCTGTGGTTGCTCACGATCACATCGCTGCTGCTATTTCTCACATGCTCTTTGCCATGAACTCCTCGTAGCTCTGGCCAAACAACCTCTGCACGTCGCGCTGGATGTCGCGCTTGGACATCTTCCAGCCCGTGGCAAAGAGCCTCTCGTACATGTCCACGAGCACTTTGCCGATCACATCGCGCGAGTGGCTCCACTTGTAAATGAGCTGGTCCAGTACACGCGCGTCCGAGTGCTGGCTCGTGAACGCCGTGCCCAGGATCTCGATACGCATCCGCGTGAGCTCTTCAATGATCGACGGGTTGTTGCAGTACCACCAGCAGCCATACAGATGCAGGTTCCGGAACTTGTTGGCCGCCACGGTCACTTCGTGCTGGTTCACGCGCGAGAGGAATGTGGCCAGGAACTTCACCTTGGGGAAGTTACGGCACAACTTGATCAAAACGTCCACGTTGCTCGGCTTCACTCCGTCGCCGGCCACACCATAACGAGCATTGATCGGACGCACGCTGTCAAACTTTAGCGCGATCGGCAGCTTCTTCTCTTCAGCAAGCGGCAGCAGCACTTGCAGTAGCAATTCCGCACCATTTGGTAGCTCATTTGTACCAGCAGAAGCAGACGCATTCTCCTCCGGGTACTCGAAGGGAATGGGTACGCTAGCCATGAAGTACTCGGGCTTTATAATGTCGATCCACTTCTTCAGAAGCAAACGCACACCCACGAGCGTATGTGGTAGCTTGAACACGTCCAGCGTCGGGCTGATGGACGCCCAATCGCCAAGCAGGACTTGGTCTACCCGCAGAGCCGAACGGAAGTACTTGCGCGACCATGCAGGCGGCGACGTGGTTGTGGCTGGATCACCCAGCCAGTGTCGTGCCTCCTCCGGTTCAAACAGGACGTTAGTCATCACTGCGTACTTGAGACCAGCTAGGCGGAACACCGTGTCCACGTACTCTTCGGCATCCCGCTGCTTGAACCATTTCTGGATAGCAGACAGGTCGCGTCTCGCCACAAGGTGGTCCAGACCCAACAAGTGCAGCGTCGTCAGTACTCCACGGCAAGCCTCCGACACAGGAGAGCGATCCACGAACAGGTGCTGCCAGACGAGACCGGCCTGCTGCTCCTTTGTGCACGAATTGAACTCTTCCGCTTGCATGAGTGCCGTTTGCAAAAACTCGGCCACGAGGTAGTGGTACGTCAACAGCTCATTGATGCCCCAAAGCATGAGCTTGCCGTGGCTCGGAGGGAACAAGTGCGTGTGCATGTCAATGATCTGGACGCTGGCAACGGCCTCACGCACAAATGCCACAACGTCATCCTTAGTAGTGAGGTATTCACTCGGGTGGTGGTTGCGAAGCACGTCTCCGAGGGTTTCGAGAGCAGTTTGCTTTCCGCATACGAGACGCTGGTACAGAGCGGCTACGTCGGTAGCAAAGGAAGCGTATGCGTCGTTTGTGAGATCGAAGCCTTTGACGGAGCTGAGGACACTGGCAACAGCCACGCCGACACCGCTGGAAACCTCGGGGGAAGACTCTGCACGTCCAGACTTGCAAAAGTCGCGGCTGCTGCTTTTGCTGGCTGCGAGCACGTGCTGACTAGCTCGCCACAGAAGTCGAGACACCCGTCCGTCCTCGCCATCGTCGAACTCATATTTGCCGGTGCAGAGGTTGGCAGTGAGACCTGCGTCGTATGTCCAAGTTTTCTCAGTAATCGAGAAGATCGGTGCAATGCTCTGGATCGAGTCCATCTGGCCGACGAATATGAATGGCTCATCGCGCTTGGACTCGGCCTGGGATGGCGTTAGGAAGCGCAGCGCGACAGCCGTGGCAAACGCCATGAATACGCTTGGGCGGTAGTTTGCGTCGTTGGCAACGTTCCTGTTCACCGAATTGAGGAGACGCACGTAAATGCGGAGAAACGCGTTCTGGGAGACCCAGAAAGTGTCCAGTCCGAAGTGCGGGTGCTTCATGCGTTCGAGCCACTCAGTGTAGAACGCACGAGCTTCTTCTTCCGGTACATCGCCAGCGATCACTGCTGGCAGAATATCCATCTCGAATAGCGCGTCCAAATAGGCGCTGATGACTGGAAATTTCTGAAACTGGTTTGCAGTCCGTTGACGTGAAAGCGCGAGGAGATACACCATTGCAGAATTTACAGCGTTGCCGAGCGAGAACTTGAGCAAATAGTCTTTGGCAATGTCTAGCTCACCAGTGCGTACGTGGACACCAGGCACCTTGCGGAGACAGTCAGCGTTCAACACTCCCTTCAAATCTTCAATCACAATGGCCTTCGCTGGCAGCGGCTCCGCCAGAGGCACCAACGGGTCGCCAACGCGGTGGTTGGTAATGCAATCGACCATGGTGTTGTGGAAGTGCACCTTGGCATCCAAGTACGTTCGAAACGCAACGGCCTCATCGCCTTTGACCCATTCCAGCTCGAGCACGAGCTTCTTGATGTGGTCACCATTTCTCGGGAAGTTGTCCGTGTTGATCACAGACAGCACGTTGCCTGGTAGTCAGTAGATACATGTGATCGATGAGAGAAGCACTGGACTCAGCCGCAGGAACCACACGGACGCTGACGTACCAGGAATAGCCTCAAAGGCGCGTTGCAGGAACTCGGCTAGATCGATAATGACCTGCGTCTTCGACCGCAGTCCTGCTTCCGTGACACCGAAACCAATGTATTGGAGCTCGGACAGCTTTGACGGGAGCTCTAGAAACGCCGCGCGCCCTTCCGGAACGCCCAACGACCCAACTGCTGCTCGTAGTCAACGCAAGAAACGAAAAACACAGACAGACCGACAGAGGACAGTCGAATCAGCTCAAACCGCAGAGTACTTTGTACGTCAGATACATTGGCGTCGGTACCCTCCAGTTGACAAGTGGTCGTGCTCACGCTCCCATTGGAGTCGATCGTATCCACTTCGTACTTTCCCGCAGCAACGGCGCAAGTGGTTGCGAAACCTGTGCCCCGCGTCTGCGCGACGACTACACCCGACCCGAGCGCGCGAAAAACAGGAACAAGCACAGCGCGCTAAGGCATTGGGCATAGTGCCCGTAAGTTTGCAGGCGATTCCGTTGCGTGACACCCCAGTGAAAAAGCCAATGAGGAGTTGTACACTTACGAGCAAACGGCCGCTCCCGATGCACACTGCACGTGTGTTGCTGGGGAACTGTGGACTCTGAAGCGGCGCAAACATATTTGTCGCTGCTTTTGTGCGACATTTGGCTCTTTAGTGGAGCTGGAAAGGCATAGCGATTTGCCGCGACGATCGCAAAAGTGGGTGGGATTTACACGCGCTGTTTGACACACGTGGGCTACAAAATGATTTGTTTTTGGCATCGTGCGAGCTTTGGTTCTTTGACGGCAATGCAAGTGACGTGAGTTAGTCCCGGAGGATATTTACGATGGGCGGTATCTGTACAATGGAGGGACGGGTTGCCCTTGTTTGACTCATGGCTGTGAGGGAATCGACGCTTGTGTTGTGCCTGTTTGCAAAAGCCTGCGTGAATCGTTTGCTACACCTTTTGTTGGACCTGATGTTGAATCACTTACGAAAGCTTCCGATGAGTCAAACGTAGAGCGGCATGAGCCTATTGCATGTCGTTGGCACGCGTTGTGTCGTGGAAATATTCCTTAACTAGGAAGCCGCTTTTCACCACTCACTTTTCGCTAACCACCACTCACCCTCCATTTATAAATTATGGTAATGGCTAATTAATTTGTTAGAAAGGGACACACTAATACTGATCTTGCTTGCTCGCGTTTAAACGAACGCTCTTTACTATTACACAGACTTCGACAAGAGGTAATGTGTGTAGCATTCACATCAATTGAGGGAAAGAATGAAACGCACCCGATAAATCCGAAGATTGAACCTCGTACAGGCAGCGAGTTATCCTTGATCATCTAGATATGCTACCGGCAGCCGAGGTCTTCGTCCCATCTAGTTAGCATGACCGCGGGAGTCTTATTGGTAGTCTTAGCATTTATAGCTGGAAAACTAATCGCAGAGTTCGACTCAGCGGGATCCATTGCAGTTATATACTGTAATGAGTTGTTTGCGATCTGTACGTCGATGCGTTATTGCGGAGAAGCAGGACACATCAGAAAAAGATGTAGGCAACCTCTTCACGCTCCCGCAGTGACTGCATATACAATTTACAGCTATTGGTGGTGAGGACGAAAGATTTTACTTTGAATGCCCATCAATATTAATTGATCAGTACCTGGACATGGTAGCGCTTGCTGTAACAGGGCACGCTCTTGATAGATGATTGGCAAGACCTTGTGTTGACTAAGCACAAGGCTGCTTGCTCCTGACGTCACGTACACGTGGCGAGGAAGCGCAACCAAAGCAAATAGAACCCGAAAGCTCTTGTCTGAGGGAAAAGCAGAACTGTATTTAACATGGTTAGTTTCGATGTAAATTATCTTTCGTCTTGATCCAACTATAATTAACTACAAACTCGTATGTGGGTCTCTTGCTCATCAACCATTGCGCGCGTCCAGCAGTGATTGGTATTTAGTTTGGTTGATGTGGTCCACATCAACCCAATAGTGGAGAACCCAAGAATATTACCCTCGGGGGTATTATATCCGGCCAACATTACCTCTTCTCGAGTGATCTTGATTGAGTATTATCGAAATAGATCAAACGTAAAAATTCATACATTCGTTTCGGTTTTTGTGTAACGGACACACGCCGATACACTTGCGAAGGGTCAACCACTTGTCAGTAAAAACCATAGAAGCACTTTCATTTATGACTTCTTCTATCGACTTTGTGATTTTGCGTGAAAGTTCGCGCTTTTTTATTATTCTCCTAATTTTATCTCATTTACCCAATTACAGCGCGAGAGGAGTTTGCAGGGTATTCTGAAATGGAGGGTGGGTGGTGGTTAGCGGAAAGTAAGTGGAGAATAGCGGCATCTTTTACGTAATAATACTATATTACGATATTGCTTTTGCGAGTAAATATTTACGAAATATCACTCCCAAAGGTAGTGATCGTGACCGCTTCATAATTGTTTGATATAAGCCATGATTACAACCGTATCAACCACTTATTTCTTCTAGACGTGCGCAATGGGTAGTATGAAAGATTTCGCATCTGTAGTTTATCGTTTAGGATGGTTTAAGTAAGACAATCTAGGTTTTTTAAAAGTGACCTAACGATGTCAAGTATAGATTTCTTTTCCTTACATTGAGCAGAAAAATGCTTAGAAAGTTCCCCTTCGCTCTACGTATCGTGTACGTGATGTTTGAAACACGCACCCTAGTACTACTGTATATAAGTACTAGGGTTAAGCAACAGTCTAGTAAAAAGCGTTCCTCATTGATTAGGTAGCACTTTGTTGTGGTGGAGTAGTAATCGCTTTTAAAAGCGGTCGATCCCAACTCTTTACTGGCGCCCGGACGACCGACTAACGGAGGGGGTACTCCAATTCCGTGTTGTATGCTTCGCTCACCTTTTGTTCTCGTCGGTGGGGCGGGTTGTACTTTTCCAGGTGGACTCTAGTCGATGCCAAGCTTAACCTTGGTTGGGGTTGGTGCTATCGCGTGGAAACCTTCACACAATAGCGGTTGTACTTGTAAGGTGCTCGATATGATCCGCCTTGATCTCTACGAGATCGCCTTGTCCAATGTAGATGCCTAATCCGAGATTCTTCTGACCACTAATGCCGTATCGCGATCTTGCACCCTTTATCTTTACGTGTTCGCTGCATCCGATCGCAGTTGGGGGTTTGTCTAGAGTCCTTGGTCCCTGGCCAAACAACTCAGGAACATCACTTGATTTAAGTACGCGACTTTCTTTAACGTCGGGTAGCCAATAATCTAGCCCGGAAGAGAAGTCGACACGGATACTCGGAAGCATTTTGAACTTTGTTCAAGGTTAACCAATCAAACCCAAAAACTGACACATCTCTAGTCCTGTCTTTATCACTTAGATCGAAGCCGCGCGTCTTCCTCTCGAGGGAATCGCCCCTTTGTACCGTAGGTGGTTTTCACCATGTGGTTTCTCTCTGAAAAATTTGACGTGACCACACCAGACATCGAGACATCAGATCGAGATCTAATAATCGGATCGAGATCTAGGGATCAGATCGAGGCCGTGCGAGCAACTCATCTTAGACAGTATTTCATACAATCAGAATTCTTTTCGGACTTTACCGAAGCCTACGATCTGTGAGCTCCACGTCCCACCTCATCGGTAAAATCTAGTGATTGCTTTACTACATCGTCGTCCGCTCAACGAACACGATAATCTTAATTGACATGAAAATGATGGCTGATGTAGCGGAAAACTTTCATACTACGCGTGAAAGCTGCCCATTTAAGCGCAATTTAATGTAATTTGTGCTAAAAGGCATCGACATTCTGCGATCAGGTAATAAGTCTTGTAATAATTTAGTAAGACCTATGTCACGACTCTGCAGCTGCGTGCTTGCGTCCTCATCCGAGTAATACAAGGACGTTATTGGGTTACATTGTCGTAGAATATTACGTGCAGCTCGCCCGTGTCGTCAATATAAATCACAATGGCTGCGTCTGAATGTTGCACACGAGAGTCACGGTGCAAGAGTAAGGGTTTTCGTGACTATAAAATTATGTATACCAAGGCTAGATCACTCTAATAATGACCACACCATTCTCGGTAGTTGTTGAAAGTGAAGTTGCCATACGGACATCCCCTTCAGGGTTGACGCCCCTGCTGCCATATTTAATAGTTATAGTGGATGATTTTTGTGTGTACACTAAATTATAGATAGTCCTTAATCTTTGAGCGCAGGATATAGCAAAGTATTACTTCTAGATAGATAAAACACTCACAAGGCTCCGGCGGGGAACCGAAATGCGTCTGAATTGTTTTAATATAGTAGTCATAGATCATTCTTTCTTTTTTTCCTACAGGTTATGAGCCCAAATCTGGTTGATGAGGCTGCTTCAAATCGAACCCAAGCGCCAAGCACGCCCGATGCCGTCAAGGTCGTAGCTAGTACAGGCTCCGACACGGACGAGGTTGTAGCAAAGTTACAGTTTTTGACGTGAAAAATGTAGAAAACATATTTAATGACATTATATTCAAACACCCTCCAGATGCGTTTCGGTCCCCCGTCGGGAGACTAGTGAGTGGCTTTATCAATCTGGAAGTTAGATCTGGCTCTATCCTGCGCTCTACGTCTAAGGCCTTGTTAAAACTTAGTGTACGCACACAAATCATACTCTACAACGACCAAAGATAGCAGATGGGGCGTCGACCCGGAAGACAGTGTCCGCTATGACAAATTCACTTCCAACACTACCCTTCGACGTCCAAGTGGTCGTCCTCTCTGTCTCGCGTCTTCAAACCTGAGCTTCGCTCATTTCGTCATCACGTGCGCCGTTTTCGTCAATTTTAAGACGGTACCTCCGACGCCTACTTATGACTGACGCAATTTGACCGGCGGATTCTTGGTCGCACAAGTCGATACTTGGAATAATTTCTCGGAACGAGACTTGAACTATTGTCTTGTAAACTAGTGCACATTAAGTAACGAAAATGAATTATAATAGAACGCGATCCAGACTCGTTTCGCCCCTACGTCATGGGCCCACGTCAGTAAATTGTCAAAATACACGTGAAAACTACCCAACCTATATCTTTGTGGTGCATCATACAACACATATAAACCTATACAACATTTCATATATGCCCTAGTGTAGGCTGAATTTATGAAGTTGATCCAAGTGCAACTTTCACTTCCGGCAGTTGTGCGCAAGGCGTGCGTGACCGCAAGGAATGCCAATCACTAATGGCAAATAGTATATTTGTATTTTTTATATAATGTTAACATATCTACGAAGAAATAGCAGTCCATTGGAATTGTCTTCGTCCATGGTATTATACAAAAAGGGTCGGATTGATGCTGATACTAATATTATTGTTAGTTAATACAGCAGGGTGGTGCATCGTGTAAATGCCGATAATATATTATAGAAAGGTAGAAGCATCTTGTATTTACTGACACAACATTCCGGTTCTAACAGTCACACCGCAAACTTGTGTCTGGGGTTAATTTGCTTCTGTGGTAAGGTGGGGTCTCAAATCTGCGTGATGGTCCCTTTAAACAATCGTTGTTTCGGGCTGCCGAAGTACGGGTAGCGTTTTCCCGATGCCGTTTATAGACCTTGACTCACCTTGTGTAGCTGTCGGCT